AAAAACAATGGAATTCTGTTATTTTTGATAAGCATGAACATGGAAGACATTATGCTAAATGAAATAAGCCAGGCACAGAAAGACAAAAACTTCATGATCCCACTTACAGGCAGAATCTAAAAAAGTTGAAGTCAGAAGCAGAGAGTAGATGGTAGTTACTAGAGGCTTGCTGGGAGGTGGGGGGAGTAGAAGAAAGGGGAGATGTTAGTCAAAGGCTACAGAGATTCAGTAAGGCAGGTGGAGTAGGTTTTAGTTACCCATTGCACAGCATGGTGACCACAGTTAATAATGGATTATATGTTTTAAAACTGCTAAGGGGCCAAGCAAAATGGCTCTCGCCTATAATCCTAGCACTTTATTTTGTCTTTTCCTTGAGACAAAGTTTTATTCTGTTGCCCTGGGTAGAGTGCAGTGGCATCATAGCTCAAACTCTTGGGCTCAAGCAGTCCTCCTGCCTCAGCCTCCTGAGTAGTTGTGACTACAAGGGCCCATCACAAAGCCTGGCTAGTTTTTCTATTTTTAGTAGAGACAGGGTCTGGGCTTTTACTCAGGCTAGTCTTGAACTCCTCAGCTCAAGCAATCTACCTGTCTCACCCTCCCAAAGTGCTAGAATTACAGGTGTGAGCCACCACACCTGGCTAATCCTAGTACTTTGGGAGGCCAAGGTGGACGAACTCCTTGAGTCCAGGAGGAAGACCCTGCCCCAACAAAAAAATTTTAAAAAATTAGTTGGGTGGGGTATATACTGTAATCCCAACTACTCAGGAGGTAGAAGGTGGGAGGATTTCTTGAGCCTACAGGTTATAGTGCGTAGGTTTTAAAAGGTCTCATCACAGCTGAGCACAATGGCTCACGAGTGTAATCCCAGCACTTGGGAGGCTGAGGAGGGTGGATTGCCTGAGCTCACAGGTTGGAGACCAGCTTAAGCCAGAACAAGACCTTGTCTCTAAAAAATAATCAGGTGCTATGGCAAGTGCCTGTAGTCCCAGCTACTTGGGAGGGTGATACAGGAGAATCGCTTAAGCCCAGGAGTTTGAGGTTGTTGCGAGCTATGATGCCATAGCACTCTACCAAGGGTGACAAAGTGAGACTCTGTCTCCAAAGAAAAGAAAAGCATTTATCAGCAAAATGTGGTAGGCTCAGCATCTGTACCACAATGGTTATGGCACTAGCCACATACACCAAGGCTGGCAGGTTTGAATCTAGCCCAGGCCTGCCAAACAACAATGACAACTACAACCAAAAAGAATAGCCGGGTGTTGTGGTGGATGCCTCTAGTCTCAGCTACTTGGGAGGCTGAGGCAAGACAATCATTTAAGCCCAAGAGTT